AGTGCACATGAGCGTAGTTGGAAGCACACTCGCAGAATACACACAAGCTGGGTTTCTGTCCAACTTTTTTACTGCCAGTTGTGAAAGCTGAGTGGAAACTTGCTCATACAATCACATAAAACCTTTGACACTTGTTTTTTTTTTTTTTTTTTCTTTTTTAATCTGTGAGGACATTCCTAAAACCCACTGAGTGAATAATGAAAGAGTTTCTTCATTTCGTAACAGTTTAGGACAAGGTTGTTGTTGAAATATTGTTGTTAAATATTGATGCAAAATGTTGTTGTCTCCATGAGCAGATGTTGCAACTTGTTTCCGCAAATGCGATGTCTGACTTTAAGTAAGGTTTATTTGCTAATGGAAGTGCATAAAGTTAGAGCTTTTCAATTATAGTAATATGTGTTGTGCTTTATTTCACGCAAACAGAAAGGCTCTATTGTTTATAGTCAGTCATCATTGTAGGTTGCAGATCAGAACAAGCTACCCCCCCAAAAAAATTTAAAGCGGCTGATTGCAAACAGAGTCCAGTGTCATAGCAAGGCAGAACTCGAGAAGCATTTACTCTCATTTCAACTCAACATTTTCCCTGCTCTCCTCCAGGTTTAGTCTTGCCAATCTGCCGTGTACTACAGTTGCCTGCACTGCCAACTCTTTCTCTTGGCCTGTGGTGTGTATTGTGTGCTCTCTCCAAAGCAAATTCTGTCCCTTTGAGCAGCTGACTATCACTCAGGGATCACATTCATTGATTAGTATGTTAAGTGAACGAAACACTAAACATGCATTATTAAGGATCTGAGACAGTCTGTTTTTTTATATACTTTGGTTGCAAATGACTGAGAAAAACAAAGTGATCATTTCAGGAAGTGATTAATCTCAGTTCAAGCACCCGAAAGTTTTGTTCTTTCAAATGAATCATTTGCAAATAACACAACACTTATTTGAAGGTTGCAATTTTTTTTTTTTAAAAGTGTGCGAGAAGTTACTCATACGTTGCAGTGACAGAAAACTGGAGATACCAGAATGATTCACTCTAGTCGGGGTGTTGACTGAAGGACGTCCCCTAATCGTAATTTATTCATGCATCACTCCTGCAATGCACTTACACTATGTCGGGTAGATGTTTCAGGGCAACTTTACATCTCCCTTCACACTCTCACCCGGTAGGTACAGTATATCTTACGTATATATAAATAAGTCTGTATATGTTACGTAAGACATTCAGGAGCAGCTGCACACACATAAAAAACACTTGTTGCACATACTCAGAACTGTCTGCTTTGTATCACATCACATGACATGATACTTCTGGGATGTACTTTAAATGACACTTCGAAAGATACACAATGAAAGTGTGTTTGAGATTTGACTCCAAAAATGACTTTTATTCACTAACAACTAAGAAGAAGCCATCTAAGAGGGAGTGATCCCATCCATTCCTCCCACCGCCACCACTGTCCACTGTTTTTCCTGTGCATCTTCCTATTCCATCATTTTTTCATTTAAAACCTTTCTAATACCCCAGTTCGTTTCCCAGCCAGAGACCTTTGTGCATGTCATACCTCTCACTCCTTTCATTTCCTTTCTGCTTCTATGTTGTCCAATAAAGGAGAAGATGCTTCTCATTAAAGTCGTTGCCAGTTGGACAAGACACACAAATAAGGATTAAAGAAGATCACAGGAGAAAGTCTGCTGAAGATCAGCAAAGATCTGAGCCCACAGTGCTGTAGAGGAGCTGACCAGCAGCCACCAGTTGATAACCAGTCACACTCTGAGGACGTGTGAATTATGCGATGGCCTCCATGCGGAGCAGAGTGTTGCTGAAAGAAATCATGTATTCCTTTGGCTGGAAAAATCAAAGGTTAAAGTATAGATCCATTGTGGGGCTGCTCTCCTCCTACACCTCCCTCCTTTCTCACTCTGCCTGCTCATCTAGCCTTATGCATTACCTCATCAGAGGAGGATCTGCCTAAAGCCGCAGCGGTCACACAACAGACAAAAGCGCTCATCTCCAGGAAGCCGCTGCCGCTGCCTGTGGTTTTGGAGAGAGGAGAAGAGAGGGGAAAAAGTGACTCAGCCCCACGGCTCCTTTCTTCTCTCTGCCGATTTAGGGATAAACGGAGGGATAAAGCACAGGGGGAGATAATATTTAGAGCAGGCCCCATTTCAAGGGCAATAGAAGAGAGAAAGTGGGGTATGAGCTTGGGTGGTTTGGGAAGTAGCCACAAGGGTCGGTCTATACTGTTACTGGCAGAGGGCCTCGCACCATGGACTTATGTGTAAGTGGGGAGGAACTGCTGCTGGCTTGGCCCTGCCTTAAAGCCTCGGCCGCTGCAGCTCCACGAGCCTCTTCAAAGCAAACCAGATGGGCCTCAGACTGGATGTTGATGAGGCATGAGTGTGCAAAACACAAACATGCATGCAAGCACAAACACAAATAAATTGATGCAGACGCAGCCTGACAAACAACTAAATGCATAACATACAAGCATATGTACTTGTCGTGATGCGCTGGTGAGCTGGCACGCATGAATGAATGCGGCAACTTGAAGCCTGGCTGAAGCAGATCCCTGAAGTTCATTTCTCTTTTCCCACCGCTAAATGAGTCCTGCACCGCAAACCTTCAAGGCATGCGGCCCGCTCCAGACCTAAGCGGACATTTCATATGTGTGGACAAATCAGATCAATTCACCAAATGTCCAAGCTCAAGGGGACATAATAGCTCACTGTTAACATACGGTTAAGTACTGAGAAACGATCCTAAATTTTGTCAGACGCTGCCCATTAACTGTAACACAGTGAAGTTCTCATACAAAGCTGGAGTAAAAAGGAACCGAGCAGAGAGGGGCATTGTTTTACGAGAGCCAAACCGGTAACCTCAGTGGGTTCATTAGCTCATTAGCTCATTAGCGTACCACAAATCATCCCAGCGGCTGCTTGCTGTCTGGTCACTTTTCTAACTCTTAGCAAATGACTGCTATTACAGCAACCATGTGTAACAACAGAGCTCCACAAATAGGGCTGTCATTTTGCATAAAGAAGCTGAATTCCTTTCCCAAAGTCACTATTTATTACAGCTTTTGCATTTCTTTTTTTTAACGTTACAATACTTGAGACTTGCAGGTTTAGCATTATTGCATATCTCAGATGAAAACATTTTATCTATAAATGCCATAACATGCAGACATTGTGTAAATTTAGGGCTAAATAATGTTAATGATTAAAAAAAAAGACAAAAATCTGGATCTAGTTCTCTACACTATGAAGATAACCAATAACCGCATTTGGCGAGCTATCTGGTGATGTCAGAGACACACCCTTTCCCTTCTGATGAAAGCCATTAGAAATTTACTGTAAGTTAAAGCCTTGACTATGTAAATCAGCCAGCACACATCACCCTCTTCCTTCCCAAAGTTCTGTGAAACAAAGATACCATAAATTCTTGCTGTCACGACAGGATTGGTACCCTATAAAGGCTGTAATTTTGTTAGGAGGGTCCACTTGTCATCTTACCGCTGTGTTATTAGATTTGAAAAGCAATTGCATGTTAAAAGACACAATAATGTGATTTCAAGTTTCAAGATGAACTGATGAAATTATGGGAGTTTGATGGAATTAAAAACGAGCCTAAGTGGTCAGGTTTTCCCTAATCTAGTCGCAATTACTTTCTTCAAATGTAGCCCAATTTGTTGACAAATTATATTCAGTGAAAGAATTTTTTTTAAAAAACAGTTATCATCCCATAGCCATTTATTTGCTCCCTGATTTGCCCTAGATAAGTATTTACCAACCTTTTCAGACTTATGATTTTGTGAATCAAAGTTATATTTAATTGCAACGTCTTGTCAAAGCTTTATCAGGGATCAGTCAAATCAGAGAGACTGTTCTTTCTTTTTTAATTGTGACGGATACTTTCAGAGAGACGAAAGCGTTAAAAACACCCAGTAATCCGTACGAAAAAACAGGAAACATGTTAAGAAATTCAGAAAAAGCAAAAAATTCTTGTTCATCATCAGAAACCCTGCTGATTTACCTTGTGACCCTTTAATGCCATCCCGACCTCCAGATTGGGAACCACGGCTCTATAGTGCGATTTGAGACAATTTACATGAGTCACAGATCATGTCTTTGAAACTGAGCTTCCTGACGACCAGCAGGACACAGATTATCTCTGACAACAAAACACTGGAGCTCCTCTGTCCTCTCTGGGAGCGAGATGCCAGTGAGAATCAAACCGGCCACTTGTTGACCTAGGAGTGACACAGCTCAAGGGCCACTACAGAGGGCTTTAATAAGTATTCTTAAACAGGGGGATTAGCCAGATGGTCAGATCACTCTTTTCTCCAACCTCTCCCATCTGTACATTTCATGTCTCCCGTCTCTGCTGAAACCATCGAGATCGGCCACTGCGACCTCACCAGCTTAATTTAGGCTAGTGTTACCTACAGCACTATTTGACTCCAGATATAATCTTTATTGCTCGCAGAGAGAAAGTCCATTAAAAGGCATACTGTAGGTCCCAGTGCTGAAAGGTTCCTGGAGTGATGCCTGTGAGAGCCTCTAAAAGCCCCCTTTCTTCACCCAAGTGAAAGCAGCTATTGAGGGTCCACAGGGCAGAACACTACCCGGAGTGGAGGTCTGCATTTGCTGTGAAACAAATCAAAAGCGTTCTGTATGTGCCGATGGAAGGGTGAGAGGTAGTGGGCATGCACAGAGTCAGATACAGTTTTGATAACATGGGCTAACACACACATACTGCACTTTGCACACTCCTCAGCTAACATACCCGCTGGTGCAAAACGTGGCGTGTTCAAACACCAGCGAGGGTTGCTCGGTTCTGCACCGCTGCAACAATGATGTGTTTTCTGTGAGAGCTTATTATCTGCCTTTTCATGGAAGCAATCATCCAAAGTGCCAAACAGCGGCACAAAAAAATGAAAAAAGCGAGCAGTGTTTGCGCACAAGGAAAGACTTGTCAGTAGTATCGGTCAGTGAAGAGAACTTACAGAAATAAGAGACTTCAGCTCCAACACCCTCTTCTCACTTGTGGATGAGTTTAAAATTCATGAACGTCACCTGGAAAAGAACAGCAAAGACAAAAAAAAAGCATTTTTATTTAATTACTGTGAATAGGATCACAACAGAAAAGCATATTTTTGTCATCACTGCAATCAATGACAGTTATGTCACCAAAATTACGAATAAATAATATTTTACCAGAAAAGAAATATGCTAAGACATAGGTGGAAGAAATTTTATGTGCTGCTGTACAAATCAGGACACATTTTAGTACACGCAAACCAGATTTTTCACACCGTGCCAACAAGCTGAGGTTTGACAAAGTATGAAAATTTGAATTGGAAGCTGTTCTTGGAGCTCAGTGAACACACTCGGCCCACCTGAGAGCCCTCTGTAGCGGATGTTCGAGACAGAACAGAGGTCCTGTGTGAAGGACACAGAGGATCAGTGTGTTTCTCTCACAGCACTTTCACTGCACAAACAACAGCACACACTCAGCCACGCAAAGGCTAACAAACGACAAACAGCATGATTCTTGTGCGCAGCTTTGAAGTTGAAAAATCTACCTTAACACAGTTAGTGATGCCTGATCATTTCTTTCAAAAATTGATTACATTTAGAACAGGAAAGAAATTTTCTCTCATCAGATAGACGTCGTGCCATTTTTGGGCTGCCTGGCTTCATCAGACCACTCTGACTCTGAAAGCCAACTGGGGGTCAACCTTATTATGGCTTCACACACACACAAGCGCTCACAACAAACAGCCATTTGCTAAACCTGGGGTCACAGAAAACAAATAATAGCATCAAAGGGGTCAAACTGCGGCTGGAGTGCTTTGAAGGTACCGTGATCAGGATGGGACGGCCCTGACTGGGCTCCAAATTGAGAGAGGATGGTAGATAGTCTTAATTGAGAGTGGGAGGTTGCTAATTAAAGAAAGACGTGAACTGAGTGAGAAAAGACTTAAAGAAAGAGCCTGCGCTCACAAGAGACGAGCAACAAAACACACCGCAGCAGCGTTTCTTTGACACTAACGCAGCATCTAAGTTGTACAAAGAGGGCAAAACAAACACGCCTTTGATTCTACAATTTGAGGCTAATTGAGAACAATGAAGAAAAAAGCAAACACTGGGTATGTATGATCTTTTATTCATGTCTTTAATCAAGCAAATGATTTTCTCTTGGATGCATTTTTCTCTCAGGGCACAATTAGGAGCAATTCTGACCAGAGCAGCTCAAAGGCTTGTACACTAAGAAGATCTGATAATAATAATGATAACAAATAATCAGCAAAAACACACTTCAGTGAAACACTGCGAACACTTCACTAAGAAGCAGCTCCCTTTCTCTCCCTCTCTCTCTCCAACTAAATTTGAAAGGCCAACGATTCAAAATGCCACCTTTTCGATCAAGTGACTGCGAGCTGGATTCCCCTGAGCAGCGTTCACACTCTGTGGCTCTTGCTGACCCGTCTGAACACGTTCCAGATGTCTGCAAAACCAGTTATTCTGTTTCCTCTCCTTCTTTTTAACCACCTCTCTCCCTCTCTCTCTCCCTCTCTCTCTCTCTCCCTCTCTCTCCCCTCCATTCCTCCGCTCCACACGCCCTGCCACTCATCTGCAGATGGCAGATCCGACACCTGGAGGATGCTGGGTAATCAGAGAGACAGCTGGCTGCCCAGTAGAGGAGAGCTACCCCAACACACACACACACACACACACACACACACATACATTCAGCAAAAGCCTTGCATTCAAGGATACTTTTGTGTCACACTGGTATGCATGTATTTTGCACACAGCCTGAGAGATTTGTGCATATACTGACATGTACATGTATGTAAATACTCATTATACTATAACAGTAATTTACTGTGTACAGGAGTTTGCAGGAGTGGGATCGTGTCACTGAGGATGTGTGTAGTGCAGTTTGAGTATAGTTTCCAGTGCCTGCTCTCGTAGATTTTCAAGCTCCTGCATGTGCATATTAACCCTCTGTGTTCTGCAACATCAATACATAAGAGATTAAAAGACAATGCAATGTATAGAGTAGGGTTGGAAATATTATTATGTTTTAGCTTAATCTTGTAACAATGTGGTCATGTTGTGATATTTTTTTCCAAAACTATGTTCACATTCATGACTTGACAACAAGGCAAGACCTAAACACTTTGCTTTACACACAAAAAAAATATTTTCTTTTGCAAAACACTATTATAAAGTTTGTTGAATTGAATCACTGTTATCAATTCAATCTCTCTTGCAGTTAGTTCAAATAATATTTACAAACAGGAGCCTGCACACTTAGTTTACTTAAATAATTTTTCTGTATTCATTCCAATATCATAATTTTAGCCGTGCTTGTCCCTACAACAATGCAATTTCACGAGTCTAAAGATTAAAAAGAGATGGACTTCTGAACTGGTCACTGCAACCGGTCAACATTCAAACAGAGCAACAGAGTCCAGGTAGCACACAATATCCCAGGCATAAATCCCACATTAAAAATTCCTAATTGTTTTTGTGTTTCTTTTATTTTTTTTTTTTTGACTCCTTCTCCTGTTGTAGCACCCTGACTTGCCCAACTATTGCTCCTCTCCTCCACCTCTGAGGAGGGGTGGGGGGCTGACATAGGAGAACCAGGCTATAAAGCCATTCTAGGCTCCTCTTGACAACTGTGGGAAGTAACAGCTACCTTTTTGGCCCACTGTCCAACAGCTGTAAAATGGCACATGTTACCCTACCGTTGAGCCAGCTGCAAAAAAAAAAAAAAAAAAAAAAGCACCTGTCTGGAAAAGAAACTTAGAACAGCAAAATGCCAGAGATTTGCTTTTGGAAAAGAAAAGCTGTGACATCCCAGTACTACAGATAGTAAGAAGAGAGGTGAGCGATAGTGTGCATGACAACAAGATACACTGTATTATGTTCCCAGTGAGGCCTGCACCTGCACAATGAATGCATGCATTCACGCAACAAAATATGCACAGTCCCAAATGTTGTCTTGTTGCAGCTGTCAATGCCACTTGTGCAGACGCGGACACACTGGAGTAAGAACAATGGAACTCTATTAGACAGAAGCTCTCTCAATGAGCTTAGCTCCACATGGGGCTCTGTGCTGCCACTTCCATGTCTGCACCATAGGAAACAGAGTATGGCTCCAACTAATCATATGGGCAATTAAACCAAAATGAGCTTCACTTGACCCATAAATGATGAGCTTGTAGCACACGCTGACTCTCAGACGACTGCTCGCCATGTTGTTCTAATGTTTGTGTGATTATTTCTCTGTATTCTTACTCATGGCCTGTAAATAAGCAACTTATCTTCCTATTAACACTGAACTCCTAATTTACCGCATTTCACACTCTGAAACTGTGACTTGTCAAACTTCTAAGGTTTTAGGCCAAGGCTTGCACCTTAATACCTGTTACTGGATCTTAGCTTTCTCTGAAAGAAAATATGTTTATATGCAAAATAATTTGCTTCATCAAATACATTTTGAGGAAAAGTGCTCAAAGATTCCATTTATTGGCACTGTTGTGTTCCCATCTTTGATAAGTGACATCCTGAATGCTGGAGGCATGTTTAAAACAAACTAGTTTGCACAACATGCTGTCCGAGCATGTCTGAAAGCAAAAGTGCTTATTGTTATTCTGATCAAACGAATCAAATCGAGCCTCCTCCTAAGCTCAGCACGTACCGTCATTTTAAAAAATGGGTGTGACTGTCAGGTTGTCACTTTGGAAAAAAGTGCAAGACTTCTTAGAATTGCTGGACACATGCTGACCCCCTTTATACAACATAGATGCAGTAGGTTAGCTGGTTGGGGTTACAAGCAAGGACTCTGACAAAGCATCTGGCATTCCATGTGTGCATTAGGTTTAGGCTGTTAAAACACTTGGTTAAGATGAGGGAAAGATAATGTTTTGTGATTATGTTTGTAAAAAAAAAAAAAAAAACAGGGTTGAAGATGCATGTGGGTGGGCAAACTGCTACAGAATAAAAGGGGAACAAGGGAAGGGGATGTTTGCATGAATGAAAAGCCTTTGTGTTCCCTTCACAAAACACCTAGGTGAACATTACAGAAGCTTAAGTGACAACATGTATTCTCTCGCAAGTCGCTGTTAACATGAAATATTGCTGAAGTAAAGGGTGAGAGGGAGGGAGAGGGATGGTAGGGGCAAGCGCCGGCACATACATCTAAACCTCACCCCTCTGCTCGCTACCCTTAGGAGATTACATTATGGTGCTCACCATTGTCCCAGTTGTTCAAGACAAAGCCTGTTCCACTGTGCAAACAGCGCGCCTTGGAAAGATTGTAAAAACAAGAGGTGAATGTCAAAGGCAAAAGTGAATAGGATCTCTCCCTTCTTTTGTCAAGCTGGTGAGGTATGCACAAACACATCGCTGCGTGACAGAGAAGAAAGGAGGGCCTTGTGAAGGAAGGAGCCGGAAAAAGTTGGAGCGTCTTCGCATGAAAAGGCCAATACCGTGAGAAGTTGCCTGCCTGACTCCTGGGTCTATAGAAAAACCCCTCCACAAGTATTTGGATGAAAGACCCCCAAAACACAGAAGGCGTTATGCTAAAGACAAAACACAAGGCCTGGAATGATGACCTATGGCTGCCAAGAACATAAAGGTTGCAAAACGGTGTCCAAAAGAATAAAAAAAGAAAAGAGGGGGGGGGAAAAACAATAGAACAAAATAACATATTCATCAAGAAAATACATTTTCTTCATTAACTGCAAAGTGATATCAGATGTATGAAGAGCAGCCAACCTCTGCTGGGCTTCCACTGTCCCAGCCTAAAGTCAACCTTGTCACGACCCAAACAAGGCTTTAACTGTCAGGGGCAATTAATGAGGGCGACCTCAGCTCCCTCTAATTTACAAGGCCAGCGCCAGCCTGTAATTAATTGCTGCGTGCATAAATGTAAATGAGTCCACTGGGGAAGCAGAGAGAGAAGGGAAAAAAAACGGCTGTCAGGCCAATATTCCAGCAGGGAGCAATCTGCGAGAGAGGGAAATGATTTAGAGGACAGCGCACAAATCTGCTGC